GTGATGAAACAGGGGGAAAAAGGGTCTCGCCAAATCTTGAGTAACAAACCACACCGATCAGATCACTGTAATCACAAGTGAAACTCCATTTCCACTTATTATTCACACGAGACGTTAATACAGGTAATGGCTGTGTCCAAAAGTAGCTTATTTGTAAGGTCAATCGAATACAAATGTAATCGCGTTAACAACAATAATAATCCGTGATTAATCATGATTAATCACACGTATTGGAGGACCATCAATTTTCCGACACTTAGCTAAAGGCAAGCACAAACCTGCTGTTGATTCACCGCACTGTAATGTGTGCTACACAGGGCATATGCTCATATCGAAGTATTCTTGGTGCCGCTATCAAATCCAGATCACTATCCTATCCTATTCCTACATTTGGGATCTTGTCCACTATCTCCCACTCCAGTGCTATTCCAAACAAACGAAAGTCTTGGTTTTGGCTAAGGTTGCCATTTTGTTAGAAAATAGTTTGCTCCTATATTCGTATACGCTGTATGAAAACATTTACTCGTAAATTGTAATATAAAAGTAATACATTAACATATTTTTCAGAGTGTAAGGTGAAATTCTTCCATTGTTTCTTTTGTCCAACCAGAATTGAAAAAAGAAAATGCAATATTGGATTTAAAATCTTACATAACAGAGAGAAATGCTCAGACAAGCCGGTTTACTGGTTGATCAGTCCAGCATAAGATCATCAGGTACACACAGAAAACAGAACCTGCAACCCCACATTCACGGTAAAGGAAGGAGTGTTCATGTGTGCGGACCACCGGTTCATGTGTTCACATGTTTGTATGAATAGCCATGTGTGCTAGGCAACATGTGAAATGCTGCGCTTGCTCATTGTGAATGTAAACCTGATGTCAAGCAGAACGCTGAAGAGGGAATGTGTGGGTGGCAATCGCTTCCAGCTTAGACCCTCTGAGAGAACTGAGGGAGAGACAGAGTTAAAAGAGTGGGAGGCAGGGATGTAGACACACATGAGTAAGAGGTTGGTTAAAAAAACAGAAAAAGGAACACTGTGTGTGTGTGTGTGTGTGTGTGTGTGTGTGTGTGTGTGTGTGTGTGTGTGTGTGTGTGTGTGTGTGTGTGTGTAGGGTTGGTGGGTAAGTGTTTGTGTAGGAGTAGCAGGGACAGCGCAAGAGCAAGACTTTATGCAGTGAAGACAGAAAAGAGAGATGGAGAAAGGAAAAAATAAAGAACGGAGTGAAATGGAGGAAATGCATCAGGGGGAGCAGTAACAACAGAAAGGGAGGATGAGGGGGAGTTGCACTGAGGAAGGGGGAGTTGGAATGAGAGAGGGAGGGAGTACAAGAGCCAGAGATGGAGGCTGGAGTGGGAGTGGGTGTCTTAATAGCGCTGAAACGCTCAGGGCTTTTTGTATGTTTGCCTTTGTTATGATAGAACGCTGTTTGGCTCCCTGTTTGCTTTTGATCCATGAACTGTGACTACAGATGCAATGCAGCCTCTCCCGTGTTCCTCTCATTACATCATTTGATGTATAACTACCCAGCAGGTAAAGCAATGCACTAGACCTTAGGGTTTTACTCCCTACCATAAATACATACAGAAAACCTTTTGTAGTGATAATATTTTTCAAACCTTATCTGGCAGAGTCTTGGACACTCGCTGAGCTGATAAAAGCTCTGCAGTGGCAGTTCAAACTGATCCAAAAGAGGAAAATGTGCTCGGTTGTGGAGAAACACAGGCACAGAGATGATTTGAAACACAGATAACGTGTGAAGATTCAATCCTCTAAAGAGCAGCAGCAGGAAAGCAGACCTTGACTTCTCGATCAAAGTCCATTCTGCTTTCTGAACAATTTGCTAATGGAGTGTGTGCAAACAGCTATGGTATGTTTCAATGAATGATAAATGTGATTTATAGATTTTACAAGTGTGTAAGGGTCTATTTGCTGAGAAGGCATATTAGTTTATGTGAGAGGCTTTTGATGGTAATGCATATAAATACAGCTGCAACTGACAGGCCTTGTCATTTTAGATGTATCTGTTTTAATGATAATGAGTAATCATTTAGCATACAAAATATCTGTGAAAAATGGTCATCACAAATCTGTTACAATTTTATTTGGACGAAGACCACTATACTCTTATATAAAACAGGGGAATTGGCACATTATTTGAGGAGCTGGAAACAGCAAATATTTGGCATTTTTGCTAAATAAATGACAGGTGCACTCCACCGGTTTCATTTTACTCACCATTATTCAGTTATATAATGAGTTCTGTGGCTCCAGGGGATCTTTCTAAAGTCTTCAACATCATTTCAGTTTCAGTTCAAGACTTCAAACTTTCAACCGAGAACCTGTGTAACCAACTGTCAAGTGTGGAGTTGGAAAGACGTTGGTGTTCAACAGGGAGGGAGGGTCACTTGAAAGACGCTAGTAGGTGTTATTATGGGAAGTGTAGGATCCAGCAAAGCCAGGACAAGTACAAACCAGAAATAAGTTCTGTTAAAGAAGTAAAAACAACCAATTTACTAAATCCCATGCTAATAACTACATATCCAGCATTAGGAAAGAGCCTTTCTCAACGGTATATTCACCGTTTGTTTGGTTATGGACTATTTTGTAACTCACCACAATATTACGTTTTTTAGAGGCCTTTAATAAACATAATTGCCCACAAAAATTAGATCTGTGTTTTTCAAATGGGGAAATGTGTACCCCTAGGGGTAATTTGGAATACTGCAGGGGGTATGCCAGAGTTTTTTTTAAACATAACTTAAAGTGGACCTATCATGCTATATTTGAAAAATATATTTTAGGGCCATACCATATATAAAACATGTCTGTGAAGTTTTTTTTTCAAAATACCAAACTGATCACCATGCCTCATACTGCTCAAAACCCCTCTTTTGCAGCCCTGTTAGAGAAACGCAGATTTTGGGTCCTTAGCTTGAAAAAAAAAAAAAGAGGAGGCGGAACTAATGCCTGATCAGAATTCTACCGGAGATAAAGTTAAATTCTGCTGTGATAAAACGCCATCCTGTTCTAAACCACATCAAGGATTATTTCTGAAATAGTATGGAGCGCAAATGCTTTTTCTCTTGCGGGTTTATCACAAGGTGAGTTCCTTTTTTTATTTCCTGCTTTTTAAACACATGTGCTCTTCAGTACAGGTTATCTCTGAGTGTTAGCGAAGCTTGCTATGGTAAAAAATACATTTTTACGTCCAAAACACGTCAGACATTGTTTCTGATAGCAACTTTCTGTGGGTCCACCATCCGAAATTACGTAATATCGGCAGCAAATCTGTATCCGCTCGCTGTACCCCCGTTTTTAAAAGATGTGCGTACAGAGGAAAAGAGAAAGGGGTTTTATTTTCTGATTTTGCGAGATAATTGATTTACTCTTTTTATATATATAAAAGACATCAAAAAGTGCATTTTGCATGATAAATAAGAATAAAGCATATTTTTGAATAAAAATGCTTTATGCTATTATGATAAGTATTAGCATGATTATTAATAAATACTTACAAATTCAGCTTAATATAATTTCTTAATTGTTGATACTAATATAAATATCTAATATCTGCCTGTATTTTATCTTTTCACTTTGCTTTGTTCGGGACATTTCTCTGCCCTTCGCTGTGTTGTGCCTCTGCATTCAGCTATCACTCCTCTTCTTCCCCGGGGCACTGCTTGGCCCTGGCTGACACTGTAATCGGTGTTTTGTGAGTCGGAGGTGCAGGACACATTCAATTCTCGTGTCTGGACACAGATACTATGTTAAGATAAACTGAAGGTTGCTAAACTGGAAGGCTAGTGCTGATTAGCTGGAGAAGAGGGACCCACTTTGAATGTTGTGTTGACTCATGGAAACGGACAAATTTGATTCATTTATCAAGAAGATTTAAATTTCTAAATGCAGTTCCTGCACATAGTTGAATGAAGATAACTGAACCCAGCATTGGAGGCGGTGTCCTGTTCATTCCTATTAACGATTCTCAGTGGCGCTCCAAGCCAAATTGCTTGACTGTCAAGTTATACAATTACCCAGATCTTATGCAGATATCCACCATCTAGTTGGGCTAATTTAAATGAACAGAGTGAGAAAAAATAACTCTGGATTTGTTAATTTAGTCTTTACAATTTTTAGGACGGATTTAAATAAACATTATATTAGTTAAAAAATGGATATGCAGATCAACAGCGATCTGTTCCCCAATGTAAGTCATTATGTGACAGACTCTGAGGATGTAATACCAAGGATTGGCTACTGCAAAACATTTGACTTCATATCCCCCCACTCTTCCTGTTTTGTCTTACAATATAGTTAATAATCCATTAATACACACTTGCATCAAGTTATAGAAGTGAATGCAACAGAAGCAAGCACCTTTACCCAGTGGAATTATAATCAACTAACAACTACAACAAATAAAATATACAGCATGCCATGAAAACCCTGACGGGAAGAACAATATTTGAAAGTCTAAAATAGAAATGCACTCATTGTTACATAAACAAGTCAAATAATCTCTAGTGTGTGAATGTTACACAACAGCTGAAAGCACAAAACACACAATCATACTCAAATATACAGTGAGATTATGGGGGTTTAACTGTAGCTGCAAACTCAATGTCATGTGAGAAACAAGCATCAGCGAACAGTCCGACCATGACACATTTTGACTGCTGATCAGAAGTTTCTCTACTCTACATGAACAGTAAGAGCCAAGTTGGCAGACCACCAAAATCCTGGACAATGCTTTCATGTTTCAAAGTGGGGCTGCCTGGAAATATTATTTTAGAATTTCAAAAGCCACCAGTCGAAATCAGTCATTTTTTCTCTCTTTTCTTATTATTTGTACATTGCTAAAGACATTTCTATGAATCAGGCAAAAGTAATGCTCATGCCGGGTTTATAAAAATGAGTAAGATAATGGCAGATTCTGGATGATATTGATTGTGCCATTTTTCGGTTATTTTCTGCCAACGTTAATGTTGTGAAGCATATGAGGTAAACCTTTGAGCAGCAGAGCTTTATTCTGAGCTGTCAATCAATTGCCTGCCGAATAGAAGAGGAGGGGGAGAGCAAGGTACTCTGATTCTCAGCCAAACGCACCTACTGCAGCTTCAACACAAAGAAATAAAAGGTCTAATTTTGGATCAAGCTTTTATTTCACGTTGGGAATTATTGGATTTTTAGGCCACAGAGAGGAGAGTACAGTCTGATCTGAGTTACCTGGCTAATGCTTCTCGAAGTACATTATTTGCTAGGGATGTAACCATATACCGAATATCGCGGTATCGTGGTAAATAAACGTCCCAATACCGTCGTGAGACTGACAAAATCTACCGCGATTTAAAAAAAAATTTTTTTTTAAAAATATATATTTTTTCTTTTAAACACTTTTTTTTTTTTTAAACCTTTAATTAACCAGGTGGTCCCATTGAGATCATCGATCTCTTTTTCAAGACAGACCTGTCCAACATGGAAGCAAGTAGGTTACAACATGAACATAAAACAATAGCACAAAAGGACATCGTATTTACAGGGCTACATTTACACACCTAGAGACATTGACAAGTACCAACAATATATTTATATCTCGCCCTGTCAATAAGCCTCACCTTCTTGGTGGAGAGACAATGCACAGTTTGCACAGTTTGACCCACTGCTGTCACCCATGGCCAAAGCATATCTCTCCGTCCCACTGAGGTGGCGTTAGACTTTTTCGCTGTGTGTATGCACCTCGCGGGAGCGGGCACAGCGCAAAGCAAAACCTCCCAGACATGTATTGATCTGTACGGCAAAGTACGGTTTGGAAACTATATAATTTCCTTTTGGAGGGCATGCATAACAAGGCATAACACCAGAGCCTGGCTCTGG